CTGCTGAATCATTTAACGATGATTTTTTATTATTTCTCAGAAAGTATGTTAAAAGGATAGCATCAGGTTGTATGAATGAAGACCAGTGAGAAGGGTTAATTTTACATTATCTGAGTATGAAATAATTTTTTAGTATTCAGGTGTAAGCAAAGATAATCCCTGTATGTTTGCCTCTGGTTACATGTCAGTCCTTAAATCTAGGGTAAAGAATGCACACTGTACTTATTTTAGTGTGCTTGTATTACTGCATGCAGGCTGTACTAGGCTATACCATCTCAGAAAAGGATGTGTATGTCCTCACTCACTATAAAATGGCTGGCAGTTTTCTCTGCCTTGGAGGTTGTTGGAGGATAGTGGTTGAGAGAAGGGTTTAGATAATTCAGTCTGTTTGGGTATCAAAATGAAGGTTAAGGTGATCACAGCTGGTGAGATGACCTGTTTGGTAATCTAGGCTCATCAGGAAGGCAAATGAGAATGTATCAATGACTTGATAATGAAACTAGATAAGTTCATGTTAAAACCATGTTGCATAGACTTATTTCTAACATTGAGGGTAATGAATCATTGAAACAAATACCTATGTTTTCTGTGGCTTCTCCGTCCCTGGGCAGTTTTTGATCAACATTACAGGCAGATAAATAAATAAGAAAAGATATGCTGACAGTGAGGGCCAGCTTTTGAATCTGCAATGAGATTTCCCATAATGAAGTCCTATGTTTAGTAATGTGTAGGATGTCCTTCTGCCCTTAAGATCTGCAAATCTGAACAAACACATTTTGCTAGTGATAATAGTGAAATAAAAAAAGACATAGCTTGCCTTATGTAATTTTTCTTTTCCTTTTTTAGATTTATTGTCTAGAATAGACTTGGATGAGCTAATGAAAAAAGATGAGCCACCACTTGAATTTCCTGATACTCTGGAAGGATTCGAGTATGTTTTTAATGAAAGTAAGTTGGATATGCTTTGTGAAGGCTATACTTGGAATAATGTTGAGAAGTTACGAGAGCGTTAATTGTACCATGTAAGGCCCTATTAGAATTTCACACTTTTCTGTTCAGAATAAGATTTTAAACCTTAGTGTTAACAGACTTGTAAATGTGGCTAATTTTTTTAATTTGATACAATAATAAAAAAATCCCTCATTTGCTACAATACTGGAGGTTTGTACTGTGCACACTTCATGACTTCCTGTTTCCTGTTACTGAAGTGTTTGTTTGATACAAAAAAATCTGAAAATAATTTCTTTAGCGCTAGCATTAAGAAACAAAATGGAATAGTCGTCACTTATTGATAAATGTTTTATTTACTGATTGATTTTTATGGATACAAAATAAGTTATTACTTAGTTAATAATTTATCCCAGTTATTTAATTAATCTGAATAGGAATTACAGCTATTCTTATTGATGGACTGATGCTCAATGTCATAGACTGTCTCTTACTATTCTAGTGTGGGTCATGGTTTTGCATGCATTGCAGCTAAGTGTGTGATGACTACAAGTACTTTCAGCTAGCTGACTCTGCCTGTCAAATGAGTTAGTAGTATTTATAATTTCCAGTGCATACATTTTAAAATCCAGCTGAGAAATAAGCCTCTGAGTAAAGTAATACCAGACTCCAGGAAACAGCTCTTTTCAAGATTGTTTGAAACCTGTAGGACAAATGGGGCCGTTTACAATTCTAGTTCTTTGCAGTGCCTGTTCTGTGAACAGAGGAACTTTAGTTTCTAAATCTGCCTGTCTTACATCTTCCACTTTTAAAGAAAAAAAAAAAAAAGAGCTTTCCTTTAAATGATAGTCATTTATGCAACACTTAGCTTTTTAATACCCTGATGGCTTTCACAGGAAGGTACTTAGAGACTAAAAGTGTCATGAAAGTGATGCTCTTTCTTTGATGGGAGGGGTTCAGCTCTGTCACTTTTCAGCTCCTTATTTTTAGATCTGCACAGTGTCTACTGTCTTCCTTACTGACTTCAGAGTTAATGGTTCATATGTGGTTGATAAAAAGGGATGAAACTTGAATTTTGGGGAATGATGTTTTAAAATTATGTTGAATATTTCATATCTAACCTCACAGCCTGGTGGCCTCCATAGAATGCATCAAAACATATTAAACATGCTGCTGGTCAACAAAGCAAAAAGGTCTTCATTTTGCTTTTGTACATTTACTTCAAATGTTTCATCATGTACTTTTGTGTCATTATTATGCTTCTTTTTATGATGGAGAAGGAAGGAAGATTTTTTAAATCAGATTTAAAGAATATGAGGATGGCAAGCATTCCATAAAATCAAAGAAAAAATATACCAGATATTTGCTTCACTTCACTTGTGAAGAGTGCAACTTCATGTACTATTGAATGGCATACTTGTAGAGAAACTAGCTGAGAATGAAAAGCTAAAGGTAGAGTTATGGTAAATATATGAGAAGGAGGATATTTGGACGTGAGACAGGAATATGAAGTTGGAGAGAAATATTTTTCTGGTGTCTGATGCATGAGATAAGACTGGTCTGGAAAAAATATCAAATAATCAGATAAGTGTAACTGAGATATTGGATCTTAAATATTTCAGAGCATCAATAATCAGCTTGTAAGGGTACTGAAAAGGTGAGAACTAAGTTAGCAATTTCTTACTTCTCAAGAGGAAAAAAATGATTGAGAAACCTTACTTTCATCATGTAGACATTTCAGTTTTCAAAGGAGATTCTTGTACATCTCCCTGTTTTTCATGTTTTTCTGATTCACTGCAATTTTCTGATGCTCTGAGATCGTAACTTATGTTTTGTCTGATAAGCTGAAATGTTTTACTGGTAAGGTACCTGATCTCCACAGTTTGCTTCCTATTGGTTGCCATTCTGTTTTGCTGTTTTAACTCAAGCAGTGTCTTTGTATGTCATTAGGTTTCTTAACAGATTTTTAAAATAAACATGGCCAACAACAGAAAGTTACACTGGAATCTGAGAACAATGTGTGCTTTTGCACTGGTGAAGCAATCTGCTCTTTTCTACTGTTAGAATTTCAGTGTACCTTGAATCTAAGAGCTCTTCACAGAATCACAGAATGTTAGAGGTAGGACCTCTGGAGATCAAGTCCAACCACCCTACTCTTCCTTGATTGCAGTGTGCTTAGGAGTTAAAATATTTAGCTGATCTATGGATATTATTTTTTCTCAGATTAATTTAGAGTATTGTTAATCTTGAAAATAAATGTTTCCTTCCAACCCGCATTCTGCTCACATTTCTTCATAAATGCAGTTGGGTTTGAAGTAGGTGATTTGTAGCTACAATTTGATCACCTAATTGACACTGCTGATCAAACATTAACTGCTAATGTTTCCATTTCACTGTTAATCCATAGCAGTTGAGACATAAATATTTCTTGCAAAGCAATTTGGCATTTGCTATCTGCATGCAATTTCACTGTCATCACTTGTGTTTAGTGGTTTTATCTAACAATATGTACTGTTCAAAGGGAATGTGTTTTGTTATTATGCTGCAAGTGTTTTCCTTTAAAACTACCATAAATGAAAAGGAATTAATAATAGCCTGATTTTTAGGTGTAGACTTCTTTTAAAATTTTCAGCCATTACACGTGTCTTACTTTTAATGAAGAAGCATGTTAAAAATTAACGGTTTTGTTTCTTTTACAGAAGGACAATTAAGACACATGAAGACAGGGGAGCCATTTGTTTTTAATTATCGCGAAGATTTGCATAGATGGAACCAAAAGCGTTACGAAGCTCTTGGAGAGGTATATAAATTATGTGTGTGCTTTGGTTTTTGTTACATTTCACTGTTGAAGCAGTAATTTTTATGTATGTTAATAAAGGTTTAGTGAGGCTGCAGTTACTTCATAGAAGGTATTTCAGGATTTGTTGAGTGTTAAGGCTCGAACAGTGATTTCCATTATTTCCTGTGTAGCTTAAGATAGACTGCAATTTGACTTAAGTGTATGTTCAAGATAGAATTATCATCTAGATGACACAATTCAGAGAATATTATACAGTGAAGTATTTTTGTTAACTTTCTTCTCAAGGAGAAGCACTGGCTACAACACTGTGACGTTACTTTCTAGCTGAAGATAAATGCATTTGCTGGTTTTCTCATGTTACCAGGAGCCACTACACTGATGAGAGGATGAATGATTAATTGATTAAATACTTACTGGTGTATTAGATGTTTGGACACTATTGGTACTTCCTGGCTTTTTGTAGGCATGTGGTAAGGATGTAGTAGGTATAAAAGCAACTGACCTTAGTTCCTTTTTTAATGTGAAAATTACTTTAATTTCAGTGTAGTGCTTTAGGAGTCAGGGCATTGACTTGAGAAGAAGAGCAGCTGATGTCAGTGAGTGCAAAACAGTGTCTGGTGAGGTCTTCCTTGTGCCTCACAACCTCCGCTCCGCAGCAGAAAGAACAGCCTGGGCAGGCTCACCTCTGGGCAGTAACATCGCCCATGTCAGAGTGACTTTTGGGGGCCAGTGGAAGGAGGGGATGCACAGCACTGTGCACAGACCAGGGTCATTTTCTTAGATGATAAAATGTTCCATGCGGTTTCTCTCTGAATCGTCATGACAAGTCATTCAAGAGCTGCATTTGCCTCATGGCTTGTCTGCTTTCATTAGTGTTATTAAGTAAGGATTAAACACTTTCTCCTCTTCCTCTTTGTGTTACAGTAGCTCCTACTACTCAGAGTTATTCTTGATTGTGCATGTTTAGATATTTTGTCTTTTAGATTTCCTTGTCATGGTTTAGCCCTAGAGGCCAGTTTAGCCACCTGCTCACTCCCTGCTGTGGGGTGGAGTAGAGAATCAGAAGGTAAAGTGAGATAATTTGTGGCCTGAGATACAGTTTAATAGGCAAAGGAAAAACTGTAGTCGCAAGCAAAGCAGAATAAGGAATTAATTCACTGCCTGCCATCAGCAGGCAGATGTTTAGCCATCTTCAGGAAAGCAGGGCTATGTAATGCATAATGGTGACTTGGGAAGATAAATGCCTTACCAGAAGATAAATGCCTGAACAGCCCCCTCTTCTCCTTTCTGTCAGCTTCTATTGCTGAGCATGACACTATATGGCGTGGAATACCCCACTGGTCAGTTGGGATCAGCTGTCCCAGCTGTACCCTCCCAACTTCTTCTGCACCTCCAGCCAGTACACCTGTGTGCTAAAGAGTAAAAAAGAAAACTAGGATGTCTGAAATGACAGCCCTGCTGCAAATCAAGTAATGTAAAGCATCTTCATTGAGTGTCTTGGATGGATAAATAAATGTGTACTTAAACACATCACGAAGTGGTTTCCTACAGTTTCTCATGCTGCCAAGAATGCATTTATGAAAGCTGAAGAAATACCTAATTACATGGCCTTTTGAGTGCTTCCTAAGTAAGTTTGCAGATGACACGAAGCTGGGAGGAAGTGTTGACTTGCTTGAGGGTAGGAAGGCTGTGCAGAGAGACCTGGGCAGACTGGACCAATGGACTGAGTTGTATGAGGTTTAACAAGACCAAGTGCTGGGTCTTGCACTTTGGTCATAACAACCCCATGCATGTCTGGAGAACAAGCCCTATGAGGAGAGGCTGAGGGAACTGGGGTTCTTTAGTTTGAAGAAGAGGAGGCTGAGAGAAGACCTCATTGCTCTCTATGACTACCTGAACGGAGGTTGTAGGGAGGTGGGATTTGGCCTCTTTCATCAGGTGAATAATGACAGGACCAGAGGAAATGGCCTAAAGTTGTGCCAGGTGAGGTTTAGGTTGAATATTAGAAAGAATTTCTTTACTGAAAGAGTGATTAGACAGTGGAACAGGCTGCCCAGGGAGGTGGTGGAGTCACCGTCCCTGGAAGTATTTAAGAGAAATACACATGTAGTGCTTAGCAGCATGATTTAAGCACTGATGGGGTAGATTAGGTTATGATAGGGGGATTTAGGTTATGGTTGGACTAGATGATGATCTGGCATGATTCTGTCCAGGGTTAGGACTCTAGCATTAAGGGTCAAGGTTTAAGTGTCTAGATGAAATGGTGTAGGGTTGAGAGTCTAGGGTAAGGGTCTTCTGCTATAGGTCTGTGTTTAAGTGTCAAGGGTGAATGTTCTAGCTGATGTGGTGGTAGGTCATAGGCTGCACTGGATGATCTCAAAGGTCTTTTCCAGCCTTGGCGATTCTGTGACTCTAGGTCTAGCAGGATAGACTCTGGAAGCTTGTGTAGGCACTGAGCATGCAGGCTCCAGAAGGGATTGTGCAGCAGAAGCCTCTGACTGTCTCAGTGAACAGAAGCAGCATGCTTGTGACATCCTTTCGCCTTAACTGTGTGTTTTTGCAAAACAGGGAAGGTGCTACTGCCCAATCTGTTGCATTGTCTAAGTTCCGTGATATAAGTTTCTTCCAGCCGGGAACCGTTTGGGACCTATTCTGTGCTCTGTGTGCAAGGACCTTTGTGTGTGTCTGTATTGTTAAAATATCCACAATAAATGAGTTGGAAAAGAACTGCAAAGATTAGCATGCCTGCGTGTGGGTTCCTGTGCCACCACACTTTCTTGCTCATGTTTGACAACATCATCACATTCCTCACCTTATGCCTCTGAGTCAAAAACTGAAAGAGGGGAGATTAGGTGAGATATTAGGAGGAAATTATTTTCTGTGAGGGTGGTGAGAGCCTGGCCCAGGTTGCCCAGGAAAGCTGTGGCTGCCCCATCCCTGGCAGTGTTGAAGGGCAGGTTGGATGGGGCTTGGAGCAACCTGGGCTGGTGGGAGGTGTCCCTGCCCATGCAAGGGGGATTAGAACTAGATGATCTCTGGGTCTTTTCCAGCCTTGGCGATTCTGTGACTCTAGGTCTAGCAGGATAGACTCTGGAAGCTTGTGTAGGCACTGAGCATGCAGGCTCCAGAAGGGATTGTGCAGCAGAAGCCTCTGACTGTCTCAGTGAACAGAAGCAGCATGCTTGTGACATCCTTTCGCCTTAACTGTGTGTTTTTGCAAAACAGGGAAGGTGCTACTGCCCAATCTGTTGCATTGTCTAAGTTCCGTGATATAAGTTTCTTCCAGCCGGGAACCGTTTGGGACCTATTCTGTGCTCTGTGTGCAAGGACCTTTGTGTGTGTCTGTATTGTTAAAATATCCACAATAAATGAGTTGGAAAAGAACTGCAAAGATTAGCATGCCTGCGTGTGGGTTCCTGTGCCACCACACTTTCTTGCTCATGTTTGACAACATCATCACATTCCTCACCTTATGCCTCTGAGTCAAAAACTGAAAGAGGGGAGATTAGGTGAGATATTAGGAGGAAATTATTTTCTGTGAGGGTGGTGAGAGCCTGGCCCAGGTTGCCCAGGAAAGCTGTGGCTGCCCCATCCCTGGCAGTGTTGAAGGGCAGGTTGGATGGGGCTTGGAGCAACCTGGGCTGGTGGGAGGTGTCCCTGCCCATGCAAGGGGGATTAGAACTAGATGATCTCTGAGGTCCCTTCCAACCCAAACCATTCTGTCGTGAATAGTGAGTGCCACAGCTTCAGCCTATAGTAGTATGAAAGACTTTCTGGTGATTTCTGGTTTAGCTGAAAGTAGCATGTGCTCGTGGAGTGGGTGCCTTATGACTGCTAATGACTTAGTTATAGTTACTCTCTGTGTTTAGGCTTCAGTGATCTTTGAAAATGCATTTTGTTTATATTGATAAGTAAAAAGCAAGGAATGTTGGAGGTCAGGAATTTGATGTGTTCTAATTGTTCTAATTTGTTTATTTATTTTGTGTTTTTAGAGAAAAAATGAGTCTCATCTGTGATTCAGTTTGTTGTCTGCTAGGTGCTTGATGTGACACAGTTCTTCCAACAGCCCACAAATTTAGAAATGCTCCATTTTCTGCTTTTGGCACAATGATAATACAGCTACCCTGGGACATGGGAGATGCTGACTGGCAAGACACTTGGCATTTGTTCATGTGATAAAATCTCCTCTCGTGCCACAGATCGTGTGGGTCACTAATATAGATGTTAAATAGTACGCAAGTGCTGTATTTCCCTTTTTGTAGTCTAGGGTAAGATGTGTTTAGCAAACTTTGATACCTTACGAAGTATCGGCTCTTGTAATTCCTAAGCTGATGTAGTGAAATCTGGCATTAGGCCTTTGCTTTGAAACATCATCCTTTGGCTTTAGGAGTTTTCTAAAATGTATTTGTGGCTTAACATTGATGTGGATTGACATAGAGTGAAATGATAAAGTAGCTAGGCTTGTGTCATCAGTGTCCTGGTGTCATCAGTCCACTAGCTGGAACACTTGCTGCTCATTAAAGGAGAGCTCACTGAAGGAAAAAAATCAGTAAAAGTGGCTTCATCCTAGCTCAAAGCAGGGCATTCAGACAAAAGTGTTTAAGGTAATTGGTGTTTCCATTGTTAGCTTGGTCACTGTATGCTGGTTTTTGTTAACTTCTAAAGGATCTACCATCCTGCGCAAGACAACTCTTTTTTTACTGTACACACGTGTTGTGGGCTGGTTCTATTGCATTTCACTAATCTTAGGAAGTGGGTGTACTTCCTGGCCTTATGTTACAGTGTCATTCTCTCTTTCTTGCAGCATTAATAAATTTCCGTTGGTAATCCATGATTTTTTGCTGGTAAAAGTCATGAATACACTATCTGTGATGTTACGCCATTACTCTGGCTGTATGGAAATTGATTCTTCACAAATTACAATGGTTCGTCAGTGTCTCCACTTCTTACATCTCTTTATTCTTCATTCATTGATCTGTTATTTCAGGCACACAATTTGT